TGTTTTCACTGATGGCTACGTGTACTGTGTAACCCAGTAAGAATGAAATTGATGTCACTACGTGTTACCTTCTCAGACAACCCACCGACTTCATTCCTTGGAACTATACGAAACCCACCAGTTATCACCTAGTTCCATCTCATCTTCCTATCCGCCATGGACGAAGCTTGCTTAGGACAAGGGGGCTGTGCCCCCCCCCCCCTGAATTTTTTGTTAGAAATAGCCCTTCCACTTTAGTTTATATACATATTTAGCTTAAAAATATAAAATTTATGCTGTGGCCCCCGTCCTCTCCGATTTTCATGTATATTATACTTTCGGCCCCCAAAATAAATGTCCAAGTATCCGCTATACTCCGATCATTCACCGCTCACGTTATCTTCCCTCCTGATCCACTGTCTCTGCTGACGCTCACCCCCGCCACTTCAATCGCCGAATTCCAGCCACCATCTCCACCAAGCGAATCAATTCAACCGCTCCACAAACCCTACTCTGCAATCCGTCATGTAAGCCCTACATCGATTGACGGAGAATCCGTGTCAAATTTGCCCTCCTCCTTCTCCACTACTGGTACATATTTTCTGCAGATATATACATGTGGCTTTCCCTTGAAGGAGCCCTTAATTTTCTCCCACAATACAATACAGGTTAGACCGCCACCAAGATCACCCTCAACCCAAAACTCCACCGTAATTTCTAAAGCCTAGTTATTTTTCTATTATTTATTTTTCATTGAATTTGATAGTCAGAATCGGTGGTGTAGTATTTCCCATATATGTGTTCATATTTCTGTAGCCCTTTTTTTGTCAAATTCTGAACTATGATGCCTTGATTATGTTTATACAGTTCAGTTCGTTGCCTATTGTTTGGGCTACTGAGTTGTCTGTTTTTGCCTCTCATGGTTTTAATCTAAAGGTACATAGTTCCAACTCTTCAATTAAGAAAAAGCTTAGATGTTGGTTTAAGGTTTGGATATGTTTTGGATATCTTCATTGTTCATGCTAAATAGGGTTCTAAAGGAGTCATTAAGTTTGTATTTGGTGCTATTTTGTTGTTGTTATTGATACTTCCTCATCCTTACACCAAAATCAAGTTTTGATTTCGGCTTATGCTATAGGTCTATCATGATATAAGTAAATAGTTAAAGTTCAATTTTCTTGGAGTATTTGGAGGCTTGTGAAGTTCAAGGTTCCTACTACAAATGGCCTATCATGGTTACTATTCTAAGTCCTTTTCAGGCTTTTGTACTTTCTATAAGACTCATAGTTCTATCTTTTTTTGTCACTTTGGTATATGCTATGAAGCTTTTTATAGTGATTTGCCAATATTAAATCGGTTTGGGCATGTAAAGATTGGGAATGTATATCCTTACCTCCGGAATCATTGATTCCAACTTTCTACTTTTCTAGAGAGGGATTACTAAAGTAATTGTGCATACTAGAATCTTAATTCATTTGGCATTGGTGCGAGAATTTGTTAGAACAGTAATGTTTGGTGGTTAAAGATTCACGGGCATTTCGTTCACTACCTCACTAGAAGTGTGTGTGTGTGTGTTTTTTTTTGTTTTCCATGCTTCATCTCTACCACTGAAGGTGTATATGTCGAATCCAGGTACCATTAGAATGAAATCCAATTAGAAAAATTGACTGAATTTTTAAAATTTCACTTATAGTAAATTCTTTTATTTCAACATATATGAAGGGTATTTTGGTCTTTCAGTAAAAAAGAAAGAATGAAATAGAATTAGGTTTGTCTTTTCACATCTTTTATATATCCAATATGAATATTTTTACCTTTTTTTATTTATTTATAAGTTCTTTCGATTGCTTAACATTATAAAGTCTCCATATTATTACCATTGGTGGTGTTATGTTACAATTTATTAACTTCTGTTTTGTTTCTTTTTTTAAAGTGTAATTAGATTTATGTGGTACACAGACAAAGAAACTTGATGTTATTGTTTCCTACCAAGGGCAAAATTATCCAATCAAGAAGGATTTGCAATGTAAAATAGACAAGTTAACACATTTTTACACTTTTGTCCTTAGTCCTAATGCAAGTTATAGTATTTTAATAGACGGTAAGGAAAGATATTCTGGAAGCATGGAAACTGCCTTGGTTGTGATTAAACGTGGTAATCAATCGCTTTGTTGGTCATTAAAAAATGTGATAATATATTTTATTGTTACAGAGGTTGGTATGAATAAAAGGGTAAATTGTTCTTTATTTGTTCAAAAACCAGCAACTTATTGATATTATTGCAATCTGCACATGAAACTGTTGGGGGTGGATCAGTTCAATGTAACTCGATAAAATCTTTCCATTCTGTCCATTTCTTTGGCGTATCCATCCCCGCAAAGCGGGGTTCTTCCCTAGTCTTCTAATTAAATTAAAAAGTCCTTAGGCTTGTGATTTTCCAAGCATATTAACAAGTCATTAACCATTTCTATGCAAATTAACAAACATTAAGCATATTAAACATTCATTTTCAACACACATCAATTTTCGAAGGATTTAGACAAAAGAATACAAATGGTCTTTCAAATATTTAATCATACTAAACGATTTTTCAAACAATTATGCGTGAAATTAGAGAAAGAAGCTTATGTGTTGGTCTCCGACAGAGAGAAGAACAAAGGTGGTTGTGATGGTTTTGAGAGGATTGTAGCGCTGATGGTGGTCTTTGGAGGATTGATCGCCAACATGGAGGTGTAGAGAATAACAACGTTCATAATTTGAAAAAGATGTGGAGAAGTGGTCTAAACGAGTTAGGCATTAGAAGCGACACCTTTTAGCGGTGACATGACTCATTAGTGGCAACAAATTAGATGACGATCACTAAAAGGTTTGGAGAAAAATTCTCATGTGAAATTTTTTGGGGTGTATTAGCGGTGACAACATGTCGCGCTAATAAATATTCACAAACAAATACCATATCTCACTTGATTCGATTATCTTATCAACGGCTAGGGTTATTAATTTATTATCACATGAAGCACACAGATTGGGGGAGGAAGGCTATAGCGACGACGTAAAACACATCCAACCTCATGTCGCTGCTATATGTAGAAAGATTGTTTACTTTTTGTATTAAAAAAATAATAAATGTGTAATATAAAAGCAAAATTGTTTTTTTATAATGACTTTAACAGAAAAATTAACTGAACATGATGAAAAACCATCTTCATAATAAATGAAAACCCGAAAAGCATATAATTAAAAAAAATGAAATTAAGTAATCTAACCACTTTCTAATGTGTATTTGAAGAAAATAACAAAGAATAAATTAGCAAAAATAACCATTTGGTTCGAAATGGGCATTCCGAACCAAGAAAAAACTATTTTTTTGATGGATTTTGGACCAACATTACGGATTCCAGACTGAAATTTCGGATTTCGAAATGTAGCCTTCGGAATCCCAAAAGAAAAAAAAAATCCTTTGAAAATTAAAAAAAAAAACAAGTCTGGAATATGAACAATACTCCTACTCCTGAATAAAGACATTAAAAAAAATGGTTATTTTTCAAAAATAATATATATATATATATATATATATTCTTTAAAAACCGGATTTATAATAGTTATTAGATTACTTAATTTTCCTAAAACAATCTGGAGTAATAGTAAAACTAGCATACAGCCACATGGATCATTTATGTAATCAAAACTATATATTATCGTTGGATCATTTATGTAAATAAAACTATATATTAATTTGCAATATGGGTACAAATTTCCACCAACATTACAACCCCTCTACTTTTAAATAGTATACTTTCCATTTTTGTACCATTTAAAACTTCATTCTGATCCTTTATTTTTAAAATATTTTTAAAATTGTTATTTTCTACCGATCTGCTTTGTATTAATTTTTATCCTTTAGATTTTGAACTTTGTAAATATTAATTTCACCTCATCCATTTTGTAAACTTTTTTGTTTATTCCCGTACTATACATAATCTTATTTTTTTTATAATAAATTCCTTTCCATAAATTTAAAAAAACTAAATTTTTACGTTCTTATTTTTATGTATGTGTTATTATAAATTCAAGATGGTCAAATTTTCAACGAAAATTTAGAACTTTCATTTGTTAATTTAAAAATAGCACATACTTGCTTTTTAGTCTGTACGTACCAGTATAAATTCTAGTTTGTCTACGTTTTGACGTAATTTTTTTTTACGTTTTCGTGCTTATTTTTATGTACGTTTTTACGTATGAGTCAGGTCACATATAATCTATTTTTTGATTATTTGATTAAAAAAATTACTTATCTATTCTTATGTACGTGTCGCTATAAATTCAAATTTTTTTTTTATGTTTTCATGCTTATTTTTTTTATATGTTTTATACGTATGAATTTGATTACATATAATACGTTTTCTATTTGACGGTATATATTAAAGTTAATCAGTAGTACCTGCTTTATATATTTATCTACCAATAAATACAATAATATTTAATTTTATCAATACAGTCATCAAATTTCAACTGAAAAATTCCAGCAAATATTAAGATTCACATACCATACCAGCATACCAGCATGAGGTGTATGTCGGGCAAAGAGACAATTGACAAAGGTATGGATGATATTTTTATAACTAAAACCATGCCTGACGTTAAATGCCACCACATGGCCAGTTTCAGAGGATAAGTTTCAACAATAATTAAATTTGGTTCAAAATTCAATGTACTTATTTCACATTCCAAAGAAAATCATAAAGAATGAAAATATATGACTTCAACTGAAAAATACCAATTAAGTCTTAACGACGAAACGAAAAAATTAGAAACTGATTTAGGTAGAAATAAATAGGTACAAAAATAAAAAGAATAAAATGATTGTGGATTATGTCGTAGAAGATGTTTATGATAAGAATGGCCCCCAAATTATGTCAGGGCCAAAGAAAGATTGGTCACATGCCCAAGCTCGTCACCAACCTTCATCATGCATCTACATAAATTGTTTATAAATACAGAAATTTACCACACCGATTCTTCATCCTTCTACTATCTTTTTATTTTTCTCAAACGAACCATTCGAAATGGCTTCAAAGACATTCCTTCTTCTTGCCCTTGCATTGGCCACTGTTCTTCTCATTACCTCGGAAATGGCTGCAGCTAGAGACTTGGCGTCCAACCATGACAGTGAGTAAACTTCATCGTCTTAGATATTTTTCTCTTTACATTATGTTTTCGTATAAAAAAAATCCCAGAATGCTGCTTCACGTATTAGAATAAAATGTACGTTGCATGAAATGCTACAGGCGAGTTAGAAGATGGCAAGTATGGTCGTGATGACCGTGGATACTACAATGGTGGACATGGAGGTTACAACAACGGTGGCGGCCATGGACGAGGACGTTGCAGGTATGGCTGCTGTGGTGGTGGACGTTATTACAATGGAGGTTGCAGGTGTTGCAGCACTTCTACAGAGGCAACCGCATACAAACAAGCTCATGAGGTCCAAACCCACAATTGATCTACGCAACGTGATCGAGCCATGTACTTGCAAACTGTTTCAGTGTATTTGTAGTAAAGGACTTAGGGTTTTTTAGTTTAAAAGTCTGGTAGCATGGCTTTTTAAATGATGCACTTTTATCGTTCTATAATAAAAAGTTACACCTCCCATGTATATGTGAGTGTGCTCGTTTATTTCAATAAAAACATTGCAAAAACATATGTTCTCGATCGACTATAATTAATGTGTGTTTTGTGTTACAATAAAAAGGAGAATAAAGGAACCTTTTATAAGCGAGTGATAATGTTCACATAATAAAATTAGGATAGGAAAACTAAAATGAAAGGATATAATCAGAATCCTATGTATACGTCCAGCATCCCCTCAAACTCAAGATAATAAATGGGAAATCAACTTGAGTTGGGAATGAAGCCAGTATGTGGAGAGTTGAATGTAGGGTAGTTTGTAAGAATAATTAGTTTATTTGCAAAGAGTCGAACTGTCGAAGATCGTTGATATCATGCTTCAATGTCAAGATTGAGTCGGAATGTTAAAAAGTGGAAGTTCTCTCGTTATTTAAATCTTGATATTGCTTTAATATATATTTAATGTTGAGTACTAGCGTTCATAATTGTTTTGCCGGTAAATTTAAAACAAATTAAATTTAATGGACAGGAGCATTAACTAGTACATATTATAGAGTTATGTATAAATATTATTGCAAAATATAGGGACTGGATATGTAATCTATGTATATGTATATTAACTCCAAGTTACTAACAACGTGACTTTTGCCGACTATTTTATATATAATTAATACTTATTTTCTATTATTATTTATTTTTTTTACAAATATATAAGTTAAGGCCATTATGATAAAGTTTGATGCTAAATATAAGTCTTGAAGCTATAACATGCCATGACAAAGCCACCACCAACTTTTTAGAATCTATGATAGTTCTCTTGGTAATAAAAATGATCTTCGAGTTTTTCATCTTCTCTCTCTTGTTCTTCCATATTCACATTAATTCATTTGTATTTCAAATGTGTTTGTATTGTTTTTAATTTGTTGCTTGGATATAATAGATTTAGGTCTGTTAAGAATTTTTATCCTTTCATTTTCTTGTATTTTTTATTTTAGTTTATATTTTATCTTATAAATCCTTGCTTTATTCTCCTTTGTCTTGTAACCAGTAACCTAAAACTCATATTCAAATAACAGTAACCTAAAACTCACATTTATATATAGAACATAGTCTTGCTATGTTTTATGAGAAACAAAGGAGTACACTCCAACATACATGGGTGTTTAAATATTTCCATTATAGAACTATTAACTTCATACTTCAACAGAAAACCATACAACCACAGTTATTAAACATAAGTACTAAGGCCGGTATATACTACACATAGTGAAATAGAGCGTACAATGCTTATCTCAGTTGTGAGTTTGGGCCTCATGAGCTTGTTTGTATGCAGTTGCCTCTGCGTAAGTGCCGCAACACCTGCACCCTCCATTGTAGTAACGTCCACCACCACAGCAACCATATCTGCAATATCCTCCTCCACGGCTGCCACCGTTGTGTCGTCCACCACCGTTATTGTATCTTCCACCACCGTTGTTGTATCTTCCACCACCGTTGTTGTAACCTCCACCACCGTTGTTGTATCCTCCACGTCCACCATTGTAGTATCCACTGTCATCACCACCATACTTTGCATCTTCTACCTCACCTGCATCAAATATCATTTTAGTAATGTACATTTTATTGCATGAATCCATGTATAGAATTCTGGGAATTTCAAGGAAACATCCTGTACAAAAGGCCAATTTCATCTATGAAAATTAAATTTACTCACTGTCATTGTTGGACTCCAGGTCCTTAGCTGCAACCATTTCGGAGCTAAGGAAAAGAATAGTGGCCAGAGCAAGTGCAAGAAGAAGGAAAGTCTTCGAAGACATTTTAACTGTTTCAGAAAAAAACTATATGGAAGAAGGATGAAGAACCATTGTGGTAATATTCCTCTATTTATGGAAGGATTTATGCAGATGAAGATTTATTGCAGATTGGTTGGGTGGTTAGGAACTGGGACCAAGCTTTCATTGACTTTGACATTTTGAAACCTATTCTTATCCTCAACATCTTGTGCCGCAATTCATTTGTTTTGTTTTATATTCTACAGAAAATTTGGTATATATCCTTATTAAATATCTAAATATGGTATTTGTCCGACCTAAACTCTAAATATCATATTTGTCTTTTTTAATGTTTTAAAATATCATATTTACCCAAATATATTTTTTAAATAGTTTTTATTATTTAATAATCCATTTTTATATTTTAAAATTATTAAAACTAAAAAAATAACTAAATGGACCATAATACCCCTCCTTTCTAAATCGCAGGAATCTTTCAGACGAGGTTTTATGCTTTGGCCGTCTTCTTCAATTCGTCTACCACTCTTCCTCATGATCACCGGTATACGTTCACCTCTCGACATCGTCCTTTTTGCCTCTCACTGCTTCCATCTTGCAATTGTTAATAAGCACTAAGTGTTTATTCACTTTCCATATATCCCCTTCTTTTTGGCAACTAAATCAACAGTTATGCATCTACAATCTTGAATTCTTGAAACCATGTATTAATTTCACAATGCCTTTTACATATATGTCATTCGATTAGGTCAAGCCTCCAAAGCATATACTTAAGTTTGGTTATGCCCTTCTATAATCCATTTAAATCGTAGGTTACCATACATTGGTGTTAATTATAAGTTGTGATGTATAATTGGTACATAGGTGTGGTTTCAAGTTCTTATATATCGTTACTTTCAACAGCAGCTGCACTATTTTGATGATCCCTTTCTTATAGATGTACCATGTAAGAAATTCGGGGTTATAGAAAGGCTTGGAAATTCTGAGAATTGTGGTTTCACTTTCAGATTAAAGTATTTGGGTGGTACTCCCTATCTTTAATCGGATAAGACTCAGAATTGAGAGCAACAACAGAAAATAAGGTTGTTATGAATTTCGTGATTGTTGCTGTTCTAGGAAAAATGATGACCAAAATGATTAAGTAGTTCATTTATCTGAAAACTGTCAAGACAATTTTCTTTGTCCAAAAACTTCTCTAACTGTCAAAACCAATAACAGTCACTACAAACGAATTTTTAATAAAGGTTAAAATGAAGTCAAAAACGGGTTTATTTACAGAAAATTCAGATTTCTAAGGCATTTTTCCCAGCCAGGGGTTCTGCCCCTTAGACCCCGCCAGGGGTTGTCGTCCCTTGGACCCTGCTCACAGGGGCGCTGCCCCCGGACACCCGTTCGTTTAGGGGCTTCTCCCCTAAATGACAGTCTACTTTGAATATTGAATAAATTTAAACAAGTGTGCACTCCACACCTTCCTTACTTGTTTAATATTCATCAAGATTGAATTTTGCTCAACAAGTCAATCCATTACACTTAAATACACATTGATGATACAAAATCACCAACATACTAGAAAATCCCACTTTATTAGATGTTGATACTCTAATCACCTTTCGGTAATCTATTTGTTTTAGTCCCAAAACCTCAAAAACTCATTTACATATATTGTCTTGTTGCTAATCTAATAGTTTGTTTATGGCTGATTTAATATAATATCTTTGTTAGGTTGCTTACTGCACTTAGAGAGCAATGATAACCACATAAAACCAAGTAAATTGAGTTGATGTTGAGAGGAAGAGATACATAGAGTGATTAGAACAGATTGTTCGTTTATATATGGTTTGTTTCACTTTTGTTTTCTGGTTTCATGAAAGTGATTATCCTTTTAATACTATGTAAGTAATACTTTAGTATGAGTCTCTATAATAATCCCTTTAGAGGTAAACAAATTGGTCTAGAACTCAATTCTTTTCTGCTCTAAGTCTACTGGGATTGTTTATGGTTTAATTTAGTTGAATTTTTTTATACCCAGGTTGGTTGTCGTAGAAGCAGGGACGAAATGCACCCACCCAGGTAAAAACTCACATATTGCCTTTTTTTTATCTTGATTTATCTAGTTCAAGTTGTAGATTTGAATGATTTATCGGGTGGTTTTAACTGAGTTTTTTTGTTAGTGTATGATTATCTACTAAATTTACAATCGCAGCAGGTAATCACGAATACTGATCACGCATTGTCGAAAAATTTTAAGTTATTCATGAGTTGTAATCATGAATTGAATGTTCAATTCACAAAGAAAGCCAGAAAATTACTTGATAATGGTAGCCCATTGCAATAGAGAAGAGGCAAGATGGAACAAAAAAAAAGGCCGATGCAGGATATGATGATCGACTCAATTTGCAATCACAATAGGTAAATGAAGGTAAGGGTATTATCGTCTGTCTAGTTAATTTTTTCAATTTTAATGATTTTAAAATGCAAAAATGGATTATTAAATAATAAACACTATTTAAAAAATAGATTTGGGCAAATATCGTATTTTAAAACATTAAGAAAGACAAATATGATATTTAGAGTTTAAGTCAGGAAAATACGATATTTAGATGTTTAATAAGGGTATATACGAGATGTCATATAAGATGTCTCCTTCAGTGAACATTTGGTTGCTTATTCTTTAATCAGGTTCAACTGGGTTGGTTCATGAGAAAATCAAGCTCAACCTGGTTCCTTATTCACGTATAAAAACTGATGGTGAGAAGACGGATCACAAATTGGTCATTCCTTAAAAGAATAAACTTACAAATGTGAAATAAAAAGATTTATATATCCAACCTGATTCAGACGCAAGAGGTGACATAACCAACGTTTTCACCTAGGAAATATACAACCTTGTTGGACTAATAGCACTTCCAACTAATTCCTATAACCATAGATGCATATGAACTCCAAATTACTACATAATGTTCGAATAATAAAATGAGTGATGTCACATGTGTGATTCTCAAGTTTCTTAATGTGGGAGAAATTTGTGTAAAGC